ACGACGGCGAGGAGTAGGTGCGGGTGAGGATGGTGGCAGCCGAGGCCACGAACTGCATCATGGAGGTCTCCCGTGGCCAGGCAGAAAGCAGCGAGAAGCCCGGGGCCGAGGACACAACGTCCAAAGATGACTACTTTATTCCTGTGCTCACTTCGGCATTCACGAGGAGATGCTGAAAGATAAGGTGCGAGCCCTCAGGTACCAAAACTCCATGTTTCACAACCCGCACCTCTTCAAGGACAAGGTGGTGCCGGATGTGGGCTCAGGCACAGGGATCCTCTGTATGTCGGCTGCCAAGGGTGGAGCCCACAGGGTCATTGGGATCAAGTGTTCCAGTATCTCTGATTATACGGTGAAGATTGCCGAAGCCAACAAGTTAGACCACGTGGTGACCATCATCAAGGGGAAGGTGAAGGAGGTGGAGCGTCCGTGGAGAACGTAGACATCAGCATCAGCAAGTGGATGGGCTACTGCCTCTCCGACGGGTCAATGCTCAACACCGTGCTCTATGCCCGTGACAAGTGGTTGGCACCTGATGGCCTCATCTTCCTAGACCGAGCCACGCAGTACGTGACAGCCACTGAAGACTGGCGGTACAAAGATGACAAGAGCCACTGGTGGGAGAATGTATATGGCTTTCATGTGTCTTGCATCAAAGATGTGGCCATCAAGGACCCCCTGGTGGATGTGGGCTACATGGACCCCATGTAGCTGCTCACCAACACCTGCCTCATAAAGGAGGTGGACATCTACATGGTCAAGGTGGAAGACCCGACCTTCACCTCCCTCTTCTGCTGCAAGATGCGGAATGACGATGTGCATGCACCGGTGGCCTACTGCAACATCGAGGACACCTGCTGTAGCAAGAGCACCGGCTTCTCCACCAGCTCCGAGCCCCCCGCCCTGACACGCACCTGAAGCGGACTATGTTCTACGCGGAGGACCACCTGACAGCGAAGACGGGCGAGATCTTTGGCACCGTTGGCATAAGGCCCAGTGCCGAGAATAATCACGACACGGACTTCACGGGCCAGCTGTATGAGCTGTCCTGCTCCACCGACTACTGGACGTGCCGAGTGGGCACCGGCTTCTCCCACCCCGGCAGGGCTGGCCCTGCATGGGCCTGGGGGTCCCCCTCCTCTCCTTCCCTCCTTCAGAAGGGGTCCTAGGGACCTGAGCTGGGGAGAGCACAACATGAATGTGTTTTCCGTAACTGACATTCTCTTTTGGTGGCATTTACGCCAATGAATCCTCAGCTGGGGGAATAAAAAAAAAGTATCAACTGCCCTTACTGTTTATATTGGGCACCACTTTTGGTTGGCTTTATGCTGGGAAGGAGAATCGAATCGGGTTGCCGTGAATGGCCTTGATCACGGTCTCCGTTACTGTAGGCAATTCTTCCCCATCACGTCTACAGCCACTAGAAATATTTTCGACACACAACCATTTGTTGCCACCAAACGCTGCCGTGGACAGACGGTCACATGCCAGGACAATGTGCCCTTGAGTGAGGGGTGGTGCTTGTGACTAGACCACACAGGCACACGGCTTAATATCTAGAAAACGCATGAAAATCTTGCTGCTTCACATCTACTTACATTCCTTCAAAGGGAAGATTTAAGATGCCTCCTCTAAAAGGTGAAATTAGTGTACAGAACACTCAGTTCTAAGCCCTGTACGGAGATCTCATTCAATCCTCACCACCTCCGGACAGAAGTACTATTATCCCATTTCTCATCTCTGGAAACTGAGGCACGAAAGATGAAGCCACTCTCCCAAAGAGTTTTTGTTGTTTAACTGTACTAAGTGATGAAATCTGCTCCTGAGCATCATGCGCTTTGCTCTCAGAGGGGAAAACGAGAGTTCAGAGACTACAGTAAAGCAAACCAATTCAGAACCCAGCTCTGGAAAGCGAGGGCAGGGAGGTGGAGGGGCGTGTTCCTGGGCTACAGGGAAATAAATCAGCAAGGTGAAGATTTGGAGTAAAAAGGAGGGATTCTGTTTACCTCTCCACGCAATATATGTGAACAATATGGTGACATGCTTCAGCCCTTAACTGCCATCTTCATTGGCCATCCTCACTCAAACGCATCACGTACCAAATGCCCTATGCTGTCCTGCTTCAGTCACTGCTGGAATACAGCCACCTGGTTCTGGAAAATTCTGCCATGAATTATCATCTATAATGGCAGTCCCTTCACAAAGCCCTTTCTGATCTCCGCAGCCCGATTTGATCCTCTGAACCCCTTAGTATTTCCTTTTTCCCTTTTGACACTTAGCCTGTCCACCCTGTAGGTCAGCCGGTAGATTTGCTAGGATCTGCGGAGATGAAATGAAGCACTTCTGAAGAGGGGCGACAGCATTATTAGGTGTAATTGTGAAAGTTGAAGTTTTTGGATTCCAGCTCTCCTTCATTTTCTTCCTCTCTTCTAGTACATTCCATCATGTTATGTCTTAAGCTGTGATCTTCTCTGGCAGGCTGTTTTAGTTCTTTGTATTTTACTCAAACTTTTGAGACAAAATGCTGCCCCTCTCAGCACTAGCCACACTTGAAAGCCGAGCTTTAGTGGGAGAACGTAATTATAAATTTACTTTGTCCCACAAGAGTAACTTAAAGCATCACTGAAGAGGTAGTTGCTTTATGAGAGCAGGAAACTCTTCTTGGTGCTTCTGAAATCAAAGCAGATGAAAAGCCTCAATGGGACCTCCACTGAAGTTTGGTCTGCTCCAATATATGGACACTGAACATTACTACTTTAACGTGTTAAGTGCATTGTGCCATTTCCAATTTTATAGGCAACATCTAGAATTATCAACTTGGATACCTCATGTGGCACAGCTGTTACACTTTGGGACAAGGAGACTGCTGGTCAGGCCCGAAAGAAATACCTTCACAATGGAGAAGAGCTGACTTCAATTAACTTCCGCCTTCTCTGTAATTTTATATGCCGGGCTAGAATCATGAAGTAGCAAACATGTTCAGGAACCCCATCAAAACACATGACTCCTTCAAAACGCAGCACTCCGCAATATAATAGAAAGAAGTAGCATGATTTTATTGAAATGTTTTAGTACAGTGTTGGACGATCTTAAAATCCTATATTCTAAACCAATACAAGCACTGCAAATGATACATTCCCGAATCTAGTGGGCATCTAAACAAAGGCAGGTTCTAATAGGAGTATCTGCAAGTTGCTTAATACACTTTCAGTTGGAGGATGAGCAGCTTTGGTGTATGTGTATTTCTGTGGCTCTCCTTGTGGCTCTCCTCTTCAGCTAGATACTCATCGAGTCCAGCCCCCATTCAGCAGAGCTGGACAGAAATGAGACATTTGGTGGTTTCGCTTAATGTTTGCACACGAGCAGCACAGGCTATGGAAGTTCTGGGATCGGGCCACTCCTGAGGCCACCTTCATCTTTCTTGAACTGAAACCATCACACAGTTGAGGTCTACACTGCCACTGTGTATGGCCAAGTCTAGTCAAATTAGTTAACAGAACACTTGAAAACAAAAAGTGAGGCTAAAAGAGAGAATCAGCTGTTAATAATGATAATGCAAATTTTTATCTAAAGATTATTTTTGAAACTAGCTCTCTTAGACTCAACCTTAAGAGGAAATGATACATTTAAATCAACTTTTTCAGTCATGTCAAGCTGTCTACGCTTGTATGCCGAGGCTGTCCACCTGTGTGTGTTTGTAACTATGATAATGCAAATTTTTAGCTGAAGATTATTTTGAAACTAGCTCTCTCAGTCTCAATCTTAAGAGGAAATGATTACGTTAAATCAAATGATTACACTTAAATCAACTTTTTTCAGTCATGTCAAGCTGTCTACGCTTGTAAGCCGAGGCTGTCCACCTGTGCGTGTTTGTAACTACATTTTCATTGGTCTATGCACTGCAATCCCAAGAAATAGATATCCCTCACTTATCAAAACTAAAAATTACATACATCTAAGTAGGCTCTTTACATTATCTCAAGTCAACTCTTCCTAGATAGAGTCAATCCACATTGCACAGCTGACTCTACCAGGCTAAAATACCATTGTCTTTCTCAAAAACCATTTTAAGGAACAGGAAAATGCCAGTCTCTGCAATGACCCACACGATACTTTTTAACTTCAGCCTCTGCCGTAGTGAAGTTTGAAACCTTAAAGATTGTGGTTCAAGTTTGTTAACGACTTAAAAGATTTGGTTTTGCCACCTGCAAAATTTAGATCAGACAATTTCCCAAGTTTTAAGATTCAGCAGAAGGGAGGGGCTGTTACTATCCCCAGGCTCTGTCTATGCAGGCAAATTCTCTTCAGGGCTGAAGAATTCATTCGGTTATGCACCCATGTGCACACAGCAAAACTCACAGGGACTCGATGGTTGCCTTTTGCCACAGGCCGGGAGGCACCTCACCGAGGAGGATGCTGTCGAGGGCCATGTGTGGATAAAGCAAGCTTTGCCTCCACGATCGCTCTTGGGCCACCATTTGAACATTATCTTCACAAAACAATGAAGGCTTACTTATTTGTACTTTCTCTGTAGCCTTGCTTACCCACATTTTTCATGGAACGGCTTTAGTTAAAATCATCAGTAGTCTAATAGACGTGCTACTTCTGATTACAAAAGGCAAAAGTATATTAAAACAAAGGAGATAATGTTTAAATATGCATTTGGTGGTACTCACAAAAATTCACCTTTTTATTATGTCAAAAACAATGAACAGACTAGTAAATCTGAGGGGACTTAGGGGAGTCTTTGTTTTGGTGGAAACCCACAACATGAAATTATTGGGAAAAAGGCAAAGTAAAAGCTAGTGCTAACAAGAGACCATAAAACAAGATGGCGGGACAGGAGGCGCCTAGGATGGCCAGAGCACAGCGTGAGTGGCCCCAGTGATTCTGCAGGGTCTATCTTGACACTTCCTCGATCAGATCTATTGCTGAACATAATTTTGGAATTTTAGAACACGACATTTCAGGTAAGTGATATAGTTATGTGTTTTCCAGAAGTGACAATAAAAAAAAAATACTGATTGCCTCTGATAGGTCTCATGTTTCTCAGAAAGTAAATGTGTCAGTGGCCATCTTAGGCTGCATAAAATTTGGTCAAATTAAGCCCAAAAACCACAATAGTTTATTTGAATCCTGGTTGCTAAAAAGAAAAAAGTAAAATAAAACCAGATTCAGGGTATTATAAATTTTCTAAGGTTCACTCGAAAGTAAAAGGCTAATTCTGTATACAGGGTTTTACCCAAATGTCCATAGGCATTATCATTATTTACACAAAAGGCTTTAATCTGAAGTCACCTTTGGCAACCTTGAAACATATAATCTATGAACTTCTGCAGAATTCCATACTTGAAAGTTGTGGCCTCAAAGTACGGGCAAAACAAAGAAAAGGGTCACCTGTCAGAACAAGTCAGGATGATGAAACCTATCTCATTAACGACAGTTCACTTACAAAGATCAAATAACCACCACCCTCCCCCCCAAAACTGGAAATGGTCTTGAGCTTGAGAAGGGGGAAACAATGCATCTTGGAGGGTACAAAGATCGGATGCTTTTGCATTATCCTAGAATCGCTGAGTCCTAAAACTAAGAAGTCAGGTGAGCGCACACAAGCAAGCAGTCAGAGCAGGCTGGCCCCACACTCCCCGTCCGGGGTCTAGAGCGGCACGTGGCTGAACAGGTAGGACACAGATTCACCGTTGTGTGTTCTTCGGATTGCCTCTGCCAAGATCATCGAGATATCAATAACCTGAAGGCCAAAAGAAAAGGGGAGAGGACAGTGGGACACACCTCAGTCATATTTAATGAAAAACGTAGAAGCCAGAGAGCCCAGAAACGGTTTCTCCAGCGCACAGAGACTTGCGAGCACTAGAACCTCCCACACCCCTTTTCTGTCTTCGAAATCACAAACACGCATGGGATCGGGGAAGTGAGACTTTCAGTGTGGATACTCAAAGGCTTTTCAGGGTCCCTATTAGCCAGAGATCTCCTTTTCTTGGGGTGTCTGGTTTAATTTTACTCAATCATGACATGGAAGGTCTCTCTTGCTTTCCAAAAACGCAGTGACTGCGTCACTTAGGAGCACAGCTGCGACCATGTCACTCAGGGGTCAGCAAACTAGCTTTCCCGTGAAGGGCCCAAGAGTAACTGTTCCCGGCTTTGCAGGCCAGACTCAACTCCGCCATTGTAGCCTGAGACCAGCCACAGACAATACGTCAACGAATGAATGTGGCTATGTGCCAACGAAACTTCATGTACAAAACCAGCTGGTGGGCCAGACTGGGCCTGGGGGCCGTAGTTTGCGGACTCTCGACTACTGTGCAAAGCTGTTTGGACCATTTTCAAATGCTCGCCCCCTTGCGCCACATGAACCTCGTCCCTGTTGGATGGATTAGAAATCATGAAGCGGGTCACCCGGCTCCACCTTCGCGCTCTACTGGTGAGAATGGAGGCTTTTAGCGAGGAAATGACTTGCCAAGGTTCACTGCGACATACAGCCAAAACGGGGACTCAAATCCCTTTCACACAGTTCAGGGCAGTGGGTATAATGTGATTATCAGCAATCCTCTAGTGGCCTCCCAAGGCAGGCAGGGCAGGAAGGGGCAAAGCTCTAAAGATCCTTACCATGGTCTGTGGGTTTTTTCCCCTCTGTTTTTAAAAAACTGTGGTAAAATATATACAATGTAAAAATCGCCTTCTTAACCACACAATTCAGTGGCATTAACTGCATTCTCAATGCTGTGTGGCCATCGCTGTTGCCCATTTCCAAAACGTTTTCATCATCCCAGCCAGCAACTCTGTCTGCGTTAAGCACCAGCTCCCCATCCCTGCCCCCCAGCCCCTGGTGACCACCACTCTAGTTTCTGTCTCTCGACTGGACTACTCTGGGCCCCTCAGAGAAGTGGGATCATACAACGTCTGTCCTTCTGTGTCTGGCTGCTTTCACTTAGCATCATGTTTTCCAGGTCCTCCATGTTGTCGCCTATGTCAGAGTATCCTTCCTTTCCAAGGGTGAATATTATTCCACTGGCTGGACCACACCTTGGTTGTCTACTCACCTGTGGATGGACATCTGGCCGTTTCTACCTTTTGGCTACTGCGAATAGCAAGGTTTTTTTTACACACCCATTTTCAAGTCTGGGGGTACACAGCCCGAGGTGGACTTCCTGGGTCATATGGTAATTCTCTTTAGCTTTAGCCCAGCCTGTTTTGTTAACTACTTTTCTAGTGTGGTTTGATTGGCTTACTGTTTCTAACTCTGACCTCCTCCGGCCCCAGCCTTTCTCAGACCTAGCGTGAGTCACACCCTTCTATGAGAAGCCACGCTCTCCCCCAGCTCGCCCTTGGCAACAGTCACACACAGAAGACTCAGGGCTATTTTTCGGGACTGGAGGGAGGTTCCTTGCTACTTGGTTCTGCCTGCCGTGTAGAAGTACCTGAATCTTGGGACAGTGTCTCATTTTGTCCTCTTGCGGAATGGTATTTGTGACAACAACGGCCTCAAAGGCAGCATTATTTATTCTGGAAATAGCTGGCCCCGAGAAGATCCCGTGTGTAAGGATAGCATAAACTTTGGTGGCTCCGGCTGAGAGCAGCCTATACAAGAGAAAACAAAAACAAGAAGCGTACGCCCATATCCTTGAAATATTCTCCCCTTAGTGTGAATTAGAAAGCAAAAAGTGTGTTCCGTAAAGAAAAACTGAAAACCAATTCCACTCACGTTTATTAGCCTAAAAAAGAATCTTTTAAGGTATGTATTGGCAAAACTCTTTGTATTCCATGAAATAGGGATTATCAACCATGGCCTTGGGCCTACTAATTCTTTGCTGAGCAGCATCCCCGGCCTCTCCACTAGCAACACCCTTCCCCTCCCTCACTTGTGACAACTGAAGAGGTCTCCAGATACCGTCGAATGTCTCCCGGGGAGCAAAACAGCCCTTGGTTGAGAACCACGGGGTTAAACTAATAAAGCCAGACTACCATCATTTTGAGCTATATTCAGCATAGAACAATTACTGACATAGTATGCATTTTTGGTTTCATACTGTCTCTGAAACCCGGTGTGCACCGTCTGTCCTCAGCACATCTCAAATCAGGCCGGCCACAGCCGGGCTGGGTGGCGGCTCCCACTCCCGACAGCCTGGCTCTCAATCCTTCGGGAGGAGCCAGGGGCTGAGGCGGCTCGAGGGAAGGCCGAACAGAAGGAAGAAAAGCCTCAAAGGAGCCTGCAAGATGGTCTCTTTTCTTCTGTGCTCAGTTTTAGGGGGCGCACCTTCTCTGACCCTTTATTTTAAATACACTGAAAGCTCATCCTTGAAAAATGAACACCAGGCCATAAAGGCCCATGGGGTCTTTTCTAACCAAGAAAAAAGAAATGGGCCTAGACCATCCTTTGGCCTAAAAGGCCTACCACCAAGCAATCAGTGATAATTAGGAAAAACAGGCCCAATTTTTTTAGAAGCTGACATTTCTCCTTTCTTAATGAGATGCCCTCACACTTGCCCAAACCATCCCTCATACTTGTCCGCGGCGTGGCAGATGGTACCACACGTGTCAGCCATGTCGTCCACAAGGATAGCCACGCGGTCCTTCACGTCGCCCACCAGAACCATCCGGTCCACTTCGTTTGCTTTCTTCCTCTCTTTGTGAATCAAGGCAAATTCCACATTCAGCCTGTCTGCAATTGATGTGACCCTGCTCGAAGACACAGATAGACATGTAAAATCCCGTCAACATGAAGAAAAGCTCCTATCGTTATACAGTGGTATTTTAGGAAGGCAGTTAACCAACCACAATCAAGGTAAGGAGGTCATCAGGTCTCACTTGTAAAGCCAGGCCTGGCCTGGGCTGCACAGTAAGCGCGCCACGGGGAGAGACGTGCTGATGTGGCCTTGCATTCGCGGCAGCTGGTGATGAATGCCAGGTGCCTGGACCACTGGATAAAACCACTGAATGAGAAATGGATACACCATCTGTTAAGTGTTTGTGTGGACTTTTTAAAAAAATCATGGGCACGTGCTGAGTCACCATATTGTCCATCTTAAAACTAGTATTACACTGCATGTTAACTACCTGGAATTTAAATAAAAACTTAAAAAAGAAGCATAAGGAAAGAACCGTATGCTTAACAGCATGAAAATACAGTGTATGTGAAAAATCAGTAAGAAAAAAAAATCACCAACACAATTTAAATCAAGTTAACGTAGAAACTATGACTCGCTCAGTTTGTGGCGCAGCCAGTGGGGACAAAAGTCCCGGCTCACAAATCCATGTAACACAGGGCGTAGGAAAACGGGCTTCACTGCACCGGAGGCCTTGGGACTTGAGTGTCTCTACTCATTCACGGCAAATGCTCAAAAGTCACCTACTCAGAAAGGGCTGGGCTGGCAACAGAAAGAGAAAGTGGCAGGCCAGACATTATCAGTGAGCCCTGGGCATCTGGCTACAACTCTTCTTTTCCAGCACAGGAGACTTAATAGGTATATTCCTAGCAAATGATGTTGAGACAATGTATCACACAAAAGTCTCACACAGAAAAAGCTAGAACAAAACATATAGTTTCATTTCCATTTTTTCTAAACATGTGTTTACATTCTTTCCAGGAGAAAAACAATAAAAAAATCTGAATTAGTTTCACCAACTTCCCACACCAGTTTCGTGTTCATACTGACGGTGTCAAGAGTGATAGGTGAGCTTCCTTCTAAGGGTTACTTTTCCTTGGGCGGGCAACCCAATTGAGCTTCAAAGACTACCCAAGAGTGACCTCTGGTGGCAATATTTTTACCTGCAACAATCAAGCTTCAAAGCTTTTAAAGGCAGTAGGTTCCAAGTGGTCAAGATACCTATTTTCTTTGATGAGATGACTTTTTTTTTTTTGCATGGAACAAAGATGCCATTGATAATGTCAACTGCATGGATCACGTGGTACCTGTGTGGTGGTTCTGTCGGTTGGGGAACAGCTTACTCCAGAATAGGAAGAAGATAATGATGTGCAGCAGAAACTTTGGGGAAAAGGAAAGGTGGTGGCCATAAAATCGAAAACAGACGGTCCTAAAAATCTTGACTTTGCTGGCGGAGGGAGCAGGGGTGGTTGAGTGGGACAGCCTTGAAGGGGATCTGAAAAAAATAGCAGCTCAGCGCTGGTCAGTTGATTCTGCATTTTTAAAATCAAGGGTTGGGGCGCCTGGGTGGCTCACTTGGTTAAGCATCTGACTCTTGGTTTCGGCTCAGGTCATGATCTCAGGGTCCTGGCTCAGCGGGGAGTCTGCTTGGGATTCTCTTCTGTCTTCCTCTGCCCCTCCCCTCCCTCTCCCCCGCCCCCACAAAATAAATAAATCTTAAAAAAAAAAAAAAAAAGCAAGGGTTGGCAAGTAGATGGGGGAATTTGGTATATAAGATGGTGTTTCAAATCAAAAGAGAAAAGATGGATTATTTAATAAATAGTTTTGGAACAACTAGATAGCTGGGGGGAGGAGAGAGGGCTGGATTCTTTCTTCACTCTTTATTCCCAAACAACTATCAGATGGAAGAAAAACTGGAACATTAAAAAGGAAAAAGGCAATTTGTCTTGAAATACATGAAATCATGGGAGAAGAAAAAGTGAGAGATGGGTGAATCCTTCCTAAGCCCAGAAGCCGGAGCATGAAGAGATAAATGACGACGGAAGACATGTTCTAGAAGTCCTGCCGAGCATAAAAATACACAATGAGAAGAAATGGAAAAACTTGGGCAAGTATCTGTACTACACCCACAGGAAACAAAGGTGCAACCTCCTGCCTGCAAAGAACTCCTTACGATCTGGGGCGCCTGGGGGGCTCAGTCGATAAAACAGCTGCCTTTGGCTCGGGTCATGATCCCAGGGTCCTGGGATCGAGCCCCGCGTCGGGCTCCCTGCTGGGCGGGCATCTGCGTCTCCCTCTCCCTGCCGCTCCCCCTGCTTATACTCTGTCAAATAAATAAATCTTAAAAAAAAACAACAACAACAAAACAAAAAACTCCTAATGATCCAAAGGAGAAGGCCTCCAGCCAATATGACAACAGGCAAAGGCATGACCAGGCCCTCATGGAAATGCCACAGGCCGGAGACGGTGCCGGACCTTGTCCACAGCAACCGGAATTACCAGGAAAAGATACCGTGTCATCACTATCTGGTTTATAAAGTAAGAAAGTGTCTGCTCAACTGCTGTGGCCGCAGGCCTGGGTAGAAAGTCACCGGCATTCATACTTGGGACGGTCAACTGGTCTATCTTTTCCAAACACCCAATTTTGTCCCTGTCCATGCAAACCAAAATGGCTCTCGCCCTAGGACTTGGCAACTGCCCTTCTAGGAATAGATCCTGTTTGCAAATGCACACAAGATGCAGTCACAGTCCAGTGCTGCGGGACCGTGCTTAAGAGTACGCGCCACAGTATGTCCCAAGTGAGGAATGGGGGAACTCGTGACAGGAATCAGGATGTATGCATACAATGGAATTAGCACTCAGCTGTAAAGAGCAATAAAGCAGATCTACTGCACAGCTGCGGAATCACTGCTAAGATGGAACGAGGACACGTTTTAAAAATCACAGTGAAGAGGTGTGAGCAGCAGATTACTGTGTGTGTGAACTAAAAAGGGAGACATGTCTGAATAACGTGATTCTGACGCTGGGAAGAACGGAGGTCTCTGAAGAGGGAAATGGGGGACATGACCCAATTTGAAGTTCTGCGAACAGGATGTGTACTTTTAGACTATATCGAAACAACAGGGTTGGGGAAAAAAAAAGAAAAGGCCACACGAGCTTGTGGAATCTATTATTCTTTTGGCTTATTAGCTGCCAAAGTAATTTTTCCTGGTTAAAAACAAAGGACCTTATACTGCATGACCCATCCACTCGAAATGCCCAGAGGGACAGGAAAGAGCTTAGTGGGGGCCAGGGGCTGGGGAGCTGGGGGGCGGGGGGGAGCGCCTGGCTAGCGGATACAGGTTGGTTTTGGGGTGATGAAAATGTTCGGGAACTAGATAGTGAATACTATCTAATAGCTGAAACCCACTGAGCTGTGCAGTGTAAACAGGTGCGCTGGATGTGAATCATCATCTCTCACTAAAACTGTTGACTACAAACAAGTTACATCTTATGCTCACCTACCTCTGGCCTGCTTGTTCGCCTCCGAGCTTCTACCGGGCCAGTGGATTCACCGTATCTGAATGCAGATTCCACTGTGTGACTTACTGAAGTTTCCAAGTAAACGACAAGCATTTCCAGCGGACAGACGGACAGACAACACTCCATGTGCTTTGACCTGGAGGCCCTGGGTGAGGGCTTTGCCACTGCCCGGCTGGTGTCTTTGCAACCTAATTTTCTGCTTCTGTCTTCGATGTATTTGTGTCTCTTTCCTGTCAACGGCCACTTCCTGCCGCTGTCAGAGGCCCGGCCCCACCTGTTCATCGCCCTCCCCTGTGCAGGGGGCAAACCCACCAAGACAGCAGCTTAGCGCTCGTCGGGGCCCTTCTAAGAATCAGGACCTCTGCTTCCCTGCGTGGGTTTAACGACCGCTTTCTGGGCTACTCCTGAGCTTTTCAGTTCGATTCTAAGCCCCTTAGCCAGGCTACAGGCGGACGAGGGACCCAAATGAGGCAGCTGCATTTTAAAGAAGTCCTGGAGCCCAACGGTCACCGGACACCCTCATGGCATATTTACCAGCTTCTCTGCTTTTGCACTGGACTGACAGACAAGAGGTCTCTTGTCCCTCTCCCTTCCTGATGGAGACCCCTACACTTGGGCACTAAAGCTCCATGCCACCCTGTCTTCCTTTCCCAGATGGCCGCTGCCCAGGTCTATAAGGTCACGCGGAGTCCGCAAGCCTCAGGCCCGTTATCGAATCAGTCTTCTATCATCCTCGCCCTGCATTCTGAACTCTCTGTAGTGACTGCTCCTTAATTCCCCAAGTCTGCGAAGCCCTTTAGATTCGCGGCTTGGTACCATTTTCTTAGGCTAGTCAGTGTGCCCGCAACCTGATGCTTTCAGTACCATGTCAATTTCTGTCCAACTCAGGAATTTTACGGTGCAGTAATTGTTCCGTCACCCCACGGTGCTGGCCGCCTGCCGCCGTGTTCTCTGCAGACGCTGGCTCTGGGTGGGCTGTGCCCTCTCGGTGTTCTAACTGGGATCATCAGGCGTGAGGCTGTCTTCAGTGGGGAGTGCTTACTCAGCAGCTGGGCTTGTGGAATTCTCCCACTGCAGTAGCTTTTTAGCTTGGGACCAATTTTTGTAGGGATGCCTGCACCATAGGGGGACGCAGAGTTCACCGCACATCTGCACATGGCACAGGCTCTTGGTTTGATTTCTCACGAGTGGCTACTTTGTCCCCCCATCCAAACGGCTGGGTAAAGACTGGCTTTCCCCCTGTGCTGCTGGAGAGAGGTCTAACTTTCATCTCTCTTCTGTCTGGAGACCTCTGTGTGGGCAGTTAATACCCAAGCCACTAGCCTCTTCCTGGATCTGATACCCAACCCTGAGGCCACTGAAGCAGGGTTTTCAGCTCTTCTTTAGCTCTCGGCCCTGGATATTTCCCATTTTCTTGGTGCCCTACAGACAGAGATTTCTTTTTGAAAACTCTGTTCTATTTTGGCTTCCACTGTCAGGAGTTTGTAGTAGGAAGGACTAGCTTAGTCAATTGTGTTGTTAATTAAAAGCCTTATTTTCCAATTAGGCTCATTGCTTTTAAAATCAGAAAAAAGTTAACCGAAAAAAACACCTCGAGGGACGCCTGGGTGGCTCAGTTAGTTAAATGTCTGCCTTCAGCTCAGGTCGTGATTCCAAGGTCCTGGGATCGGAGTCCTGCATCGGGCTCCTTGCTCCGTGGGGAGCCTGCTTCTCCCTCTCCCTCCGCCTGCCGCTCCCCCTGCCTGTGTGCTCTCTCTGACAAATAAAAATCTTAAAAAAAACCCCCAAAACCACCTTGAGTAAAACATATTCGCTGAAAACAAATACGTGCCCGTGTTTCTTGCAGGTGAAGACGCAGTGCCCTTACTTGTCCATTTACAAAATAGAGCGTTAAGTAATTTAAAACATGTTTGCTTATCTAACACATCAAAAAAAAGAACAAAAAGAAAACCACGGTGCATTTTGGCTACCTTTTGGCTCCCCCGGCGTCAGGTGAAACAATGATACAGTTCCTCCACTCGGCAATGTTCTCCCGAATCCATTGCAGGACTGCGGGCTCCGCGTACAAATTATCCACCGGGATGTCAAAGAATCCCTAAGGGGAGAAGTCCTATTCAAAGGAAGCCTTTTCAACAGACTCCCTTTTCTTAATTTTAACAGAATTAAACGAAAAGACAGGTATGTTCCAGGGGCCTATGTCAGTGCAATCCATTATCTTTGGAGACATATTCGATTCTCTCCGGATTGCCTGTATTCTAAGGAATCGGAGAATGGCTTTGCGGGGGAGCGCGGGAAAGAGGTCTGTTGTGTCTTAAGCACCTTATTGTAAGCCAAATGCTTCTTCGCATTCATTGTATCACAGAGCAGGCACAGTATGGGCCTGTCTTATAGATGAAGGAACTAAGTTATGAAGGAGGTTAAAAAAACATACATTCCAACCCTGCCATTCTAATTACTTTTGAGAAATTGAGATGGAATTACAAAGTTTACTGCCAAGAAGCCATTCCCCCTCCTCTGAAACTGTTTGGACACAAGCTGGTGGCAGACAGCGGTAACAACTATTAAACCGTATTCCCAAGTCCAGTAAAGACGAAAACCCAAGAGAGCAATCACATACAAACTCAAACGCGAGTCACGTTACCCACTTTGAAAACAATTTAACTTAACAGAGTTAGGATGTAACCACTTGCATTAAGCCCCCGATCACAACCAAGGGCAAGAAAGAAAATGCTGGAACCTGGATCTGAGAGGCATGCAGGTCCATGGTGATGATGTGATCGGCCCCGGCGACCGAGAGCATATTGGCCACAAGTTTCGCGGAAATCGGAGCACGACTCTAAAAAATAAAGACACAGATTTTACTTCAGGAAAAGGGAAGAGATACACTAATAAAATCAACATTAAGTCACTTAATACTTTAAACTATTGAATTATTAACAAGAAAATTACCTCCTAACAAGATATTCATTCCATTTTATTCGCCCAATATTGACCATTTACATATACTGTTCCAAGACGATGTGCTTGACACTGGATAGAGAGAACAAATCTCAAAGATGCAAACACACACATAGACGTGTAACATCACAATGTGTATCATTTAAATAGTGACAAGTGGGAAGAAGAAGAGGTGCCAGCAAGAGGACGGCATGAAGCTTAAGGAGACTGGGACTCAGAGGCCCCTCTGAGGAAACAGCTTTTACGGCGTGGCCAGCAGAGGGGAGAAGCCAGTGTTCCGGAAAGAGCAGCACGTGGGACATCACCGAGGCCAAGAGGTCACGCCCAGGGACAGAAAGGGACAGAAAGAAGCCCAGCGTGGCCGAGAGCGCGCACGTAAGGGAGGCAGAGGCAAGGCCAGCTCCTCGAGAAGAGCTGATGCATCGCAGCTGAAAGCCCATGCCGTCACAAACGAAACAAAAGCCACACTGAAGAAAGAACACCGTGCGGCGATCACGAATTTGGTGTTTCAAGAAGGGATGCAAGGTGATTTATTGACACTGTATCCTCTCTAAAATTACCTAACTTCTCCACAGCTTTAGCTTTTATATCATAAATCCTGGACAGTAAGTGTCTACATAAAAAAAAAAAAAATTTAAGAGACTACACAGACGTAGATTAAACCTAGGAAAGCTCAGCATTTTACTGTCAACAGTAATATTCTCATACACCAACCCAAAAATATACATGTAAGCTTAAAAGATTTCATTCAGAATCACACAATGTTGTCAGTTACATCTCAAAAGTGAAACAAAAAAAATTTCATTCACAATAATAATAAACGATCCCTATAAAATACACAAGAATATATTCATGTAAAACAGACACGGGAAGGAATTACATCATAATATTCACAGATCATTTCTAGTTTCTCTTAACACACCATACTTAAAAAAAAAAACCAAACCAAACCAAACCAAACCAAAAGAGGGGCGCCTGGGTGGCTCAGTCGTTAAGCGTCTGCCTTCGGCTCGGGTCATGATCCCAGGGTCCTGGGATCGAGCCCCGCATCGGGCTCCCTGCTCAGCGGGAAGCCTGCTTCTCCCTCTCCCACTCCCCCTGCTTGTGTTCCCTCTCTCGCTGTGTCCGTCAAATAAGTTCTTTATTAAAAAAAAAAAAGAAAGAAACCTATTACTTTATAGTAATATACGTGAACATTAGCTATGGGAACCCTCACTACAATGGCATCTGGAGCTTCAGGATGGGGTGCTTTCAAGCCCTCCCAACTCCTACTAGTCAATTGCAGACCCAACGGGAAGAGGCGGACTCGACAGTGCACAGGGATACTATTCTACTAGTCCGGCGGGAGGGAGAGATGCTTTCATCGGCCCCAGGGAACAGCTCAGCCAGTGAGAAGCCCCCACACTTTGAACTCCCAGGTTCCTCTGAGGGACTTGCAGTTCACAACAGCCCTCCCAACTTCCCCCTTCTCTCCTTCAAAAGCCTACCTCTCCTTTGTCCTCCAGACTTGCCACGCCTTGTTTGTTTGCAATTCTTTCATTCCCAAATAAACGCACCTGTTGCTGGTAAAGTAACTGGCACAGAGTCTATTCTCCAGGTTTGCATCACTTGGTGATCAGAGGGGTGATCCAGAGAGGACCCCCAATGCCTCCGGGGCTGGTGAGCAAACAGGTGCCGTACCCCCGGAGCTGCTGGGGCTCACTGCTTTATCGACGACCCTGGGGTTTTAAGGTTAAGTTTTTTCCTGGATTTTGAGCTTCATGCCTTGTGTCTAAGCTCTCCGGGCTTTACTCGGGACCTATGTAAGCCCTCGGTTTTGGGGTTGTTTTTGTTTCCATCTCTGAGTACTCATTTGGCCTTCTGGCCCATTCAGACTGTTCCTGACGGACCTGGGCTAAGCTTCCGGTTTGATTCCTGTCAGGACCATTCCTAATGAAACCGCAGCTGGGGCGCAAGGGGGCAGGAGCACCTGGCTTTGAGGGTCCCCCACACACCAGGTTTGGCCACCGGCTGCTGACAAAATCCAAAGGCAGAGAAAGGAGTGGTGGTGCAACAGGAAAGGAACTTATTTCAGTGAGACCAACACCCGAAGACAGGAACCAGTGTCTCCAAGACGGTCTCCAAAGTGCCAGAAAGACCTCTAGGTTTATATAAGGAAAATGTGGGACAAGGGTATGTGGGGACATGCAGGTGGGCAGTGAAGGTCAGGTCGAGCAGTCATTTGCCCTGGGGTCACTTGCGGGGCACTCGCCTGCTTGGGTCAGCCATTGCTTGAGGGGGTGGTTTTGGTTCCTCTCAGGGGATGCTGTGCCCTCAGGGTCTTTGGCCGAAGTTAAGAGTGACGCTGGAAAGGGAGACTTCATTAGAAAGTACAGACTCAGGCCAGAATGGAGGCAATGGTGAAGTCCTGTTGCAGAACTAGGCTGGCCTTCAGTCTGACGTCTTTTCGAAAATCAGCCTGTTCAAACTGGAACTGTGCCAATCTGAACTGTGAAGGCCTTCGGTCCTATTCCCCTTTGGGGCTGGACTGTTCCTCCAGGAACTGTGCTGGCCTTTCATCTGATCCCTTCTGGAACCAGGCCGTTCCTGAAAAACCTCTAAGAAATGGGATCCCGGTCATCGAAGTGTTCTGAGGGCACGTTGCTGCCCGCCTCCCCCCGCCCCCGCAATGGGACTCCAGCCGGCTTTATGTTTAAAATCTATGGTCCCCTCCACATGCACATTTATAAATAAATGGACTGACTTAACCAGAAGTAATTTAGAACTTCGATGGCCATTATGGGGAACTTTCAATCTCTCCGAACTTCATTTTCTCAAAGCTGAACTGGACAACAACCACGGTTCTAAAGCTGAATGCGATTTCTATTTTAAGGGGTATTTTGAAGCTTCCAAACATGATCAGGAATCCCGAACTGCCTCTTTCCAAGGTACACTTTATAAACTAAGTGAGGCCAACAATTAAAAAAAAAAAGGGCTTCTGAAGCCTCTTCTCCGCCCTGCCCCCCAGATCCTGAGCAGGACCCCTATCTTTTGGCAAGATGCTAGAAAACCTGCTGAAATCTCCACTGAACAATTATAATGGCTTTTCCTAAGTCTGTTGACTGCAACAAAAATCTGGCTTACACACAAAAGCTTGATGAATCTGTTCATGGTTATTACAATTGACTCCAAACTGTCTTTAAAGAAAATTCTGGTCTTCCTTTAGATGCTGAATCCATCGGGATTAACATTTAATTTTGTGCTTATTAATGACTGCTCCAGGATCTTTCCCTTTTAGGTAAAAGGACCAGGATGGAATGAGAAATTAAGTCCACTTCAGATCTGACTAACCTGGCAAACCAGCTTGCTCACACCCTAGGTGAGTCACCCAGAGGAAAGATCGCTAAAATTTTCGATGTTCAGCTCCAGCAAATGAAGGCCCCGAAACAAAACTGGAAGAGTGGTTTCTGCTATTATTTCAAGGAACCAGGACATTCGGAGAAGACTGTTACAAATGGAAGCGCTTCAGGCACCTTTGGCCCTCTCGCCAACCTTTCCAATGTTCTAATTCCCAATGACAGGTGTAGAGAGCAAGATGGAGTCCCTCATGTCAAGCAGGAGCCTGTGTCAAGCAGTGACGCAAGCAGTTCAGGGCACTGCAGCTACAAGATATATCACCAAGACCAGCATCAGCTGACACCCCAGAATCCATAACATGCAGAAGCAGAGGTGGTCTGCTTTGATAGTCACCCCCTAGGAGTTATCATAGTCTCCTGGGTCCTCAAGATGGGTGTCCTGGGGTCCCCAACGGTGCTTTGTCCTTTAAACTTAAAATTATTCATTGATTTGTCCTTCCTCAGTACTCTATTAGCTAGCTCTTTGCCGGTCCTGGTCTGTGAGATGGTTTTCATCAGTAAGATGGGAACCTCCACAGCGGGCACCCGGGACCCTAAGGGTTTTACATTTTTAGGATCCTTCAGATCCATGATTATACCTCCCAGGGTCCTGGCTGTGAGCTTTCTGACTTCCAACTCTGTGGGGCAGCAGGGGTCTTTTACCCAAAGTACGGTGTTAGGCCTCTTGGCTCTTTTCACCATCCTTTTTAGGCATTTACGTAGGGCCCGCATCTTTCTTCCTTTTTTGTAACCTAGCAGCTGCCATGTACAATTTCTTAACTATGCAGAGGTCTATTTCCCACTTGGGAGATTTGTACAGATTTTTCCACAATTTTCGTTCACATCTTTCTGCCAAGTTATAGATTACTTTGGCCAGGAGTGGCATTTATCTTTGCAATGTCTCCAAATGCTTTAACTCTTCTTAGTCCTCCAAGCGCCTGTTTTGTTTTGTTTTTTTTAAAGATTTATTTATTTGACAGAGAGAGAGAGAGAGAGGGAGAGAGGGAACACAAGCAGGGGGAGTGGGAGAGGGAGAGGCAGGCTTCCACGACCCTGGGATCACGACCCGAGCCAAAGGCAGACGCCCAACGACTGAGCCACCCAGGCGCCCCTCCAAGTGCCTTTCTGAGGCCATCTCCCTTGGTCTCGGCTCTGGCTAGTTCCCCCTCGTGCCTGGCCTGCAGAGGGGTGCGCCCCGGACGGGCTCCCGCTGTCGACTGCTCCCGGCACAGCGCCGGTCTTGGCTTCACCTGCCTTGCTGCTACCTTAGGGTCTCACCGTCAGTGAGACGCCTGGAAAAGTCTATATGCACCTAAATGTATTCCCCAATTTATTATTTTTAGTTCTGTTATGGTCAAGTCAAGCAAGCATCTGGGGGTCTTTTCGGATTCTTCTAAATTTTCTACCACACAGTGGGTCAATGACATGGCATCCCGCCCGCCATGCCAAGTGCCATGAGCACACTGTGAAGGCGCACGCACGAGGTGTTGTCTTTCCGCAGTGT